AATTATGAATAGTCTATGTACTATAAATCATATTATGTTTTCAACATGTAATGAATTCCCAAAGAATATGGCTACATTTATCATAAAAAGGGTTACATACATGGCTACAAATATAGCTCAATGTGTAACATAAAAATTAAGGTTACATAACTGCATATTTTTCATTTGTTTTAAATTCAAATTCATTATTCTTATATTAACATCATATATATATATATATATATATATATATATCATTTTTATCAATAATCAATACTAAAACTATATACAAACTAGGATCACTATCATCATTTATATCAAACTCAATGGAAGGAAGAAGAAGAAGAGGAAACAAAAGGATTAACCATGGGTTTAGGAGTTGACATCCCCACATGGATTATCTTTTTCATCCCCAAGAGAGAATAAGATAATCCATGTGTGGGATATTGTTGTATTTAATTGATTTTTGGTGATTGTTTCACGGTGGTGTGGCAACAAAATCGTCGGATTTAAGTTTTGGTAGGAGAAAATTTAAAAGCAATTTTTTTTTTTTTTTGTATATAGAAACATATGATCAAGAAACATGTTCATCATTCGGTAACCATTTAGCACATTATTAATTTTTTATTAACTTGATAAAAAAAGAAAAAAAGATTTATTCAGAAAAGGAGTTGCATTATACATGTAAATACCTCAACAAAACCAGTTACATTTTGGTACATTATTATAATTACTAGTACTCTTTCAACTTCCTTCTATAGAGGCTCATTGTTAAACGCCGCGGTATTGAACTCTTAAGCTGTTGTCATCCTTGGCCTTCCGTAGCTAGCTGGACCACTGCTGTGAGTCAAAGTGGTCTCGAGTGTGTTGAACTTGACCCTCTTTGCTTCTTCGGGTGAGATTTCGAATCCATTGGTTATGACCGCTAGTGGTAAACCTCTCATGATTGAGGTTCTCCCGGCAAGAGTGTTGATCTGTGCGTTTGCGTTTGTTTTGAACTCGACCCACCTGAACTGGTCGCTTGTGGCGCGTTTAACCACGGAGAAACCCTGAGGTACGACAATAAGCTGTCCTTGAGAGACTTGTCCGTCGAACACTCTGTCACCGTTGTCGTTTACGATTTGAAGTTGTGCTTCTCCGTCTGTCACGTACAGAACCGCGTTGGCGTTGGCGTTCCACTGTGGAAGCACCATTGCGTTCTACACCACACACGTTTCAAGAGTCAAGTTTAAATGTAGAAATGAACATATTATTATAGCGAACCAAAACCTAAACCGAGCCAAACATTCAAAATGTCTACGTCCACCCTCATGCATGCATGCATATGTTACTTGGTTCTAGACTTCTAGGTAGTCAAATAATATATATTGTTATTAGAATACTTGGTTATCTGAACCGGTTATTTGCTGGTTTATATCTTTGGTTTAACTAAGTATAGAAAGTGTAAAATGAAATGTATATATAGAGTATACAGAGTATATATACACTTTCTATACTTAGCTAAACCAAAGATATAAACCAGCAAATAACCGGTTCAGATAACCAAGTATTCTAATAATTGTTTAACTTACTTGACGGATAGATCCACGAAGGGCTGAGAGACGGATGAAGCGAAGGATGGGGAGATCGTAACTGTTGAGAGTGCTGATGTAACCAAGCTGTGGCTTGTACACGTCAGCACGAGACGGGTCATCGAGGTTATCAACGGACCTGGCACTGCATATGGTCTCCTCTAAGCCGTTACCTTCTCTTTCTTCCTCCTGAGGTCTCTGGCCTCTCAAAGGTGGCCTAATGACACCGAACGGGCCTTTGACTCGGACAATGTTTCCACGGTTGTCTTGTTGGTTTTGAAGTTGTTGTGCTGTCTGAAGGTCAATCTTGAAAGCTTGAGCAATAACCTCTGGTCCGAAGCCACTGAAAATGTTCTTTTGTGGCCCTTGCTCTCGGCCCTGTAACCATACTTGGCCTTGTGGGTTGTTTCCGGCCAAGTAAAATGGCTTCGCAATACATAAAAAAGATATATCACTTTTTGTTATTTTGTGACTACATAGTTAATAATATTCTTTTGAGGTTTGGTTTTTTATATACCCTTGGGTTGCGGTCGAGCTGGTTCTGGTGACTGGCTAGATCAAAGACGCTGACGATGACAAGTGGTTGCTGTCCTTCGTTGTAGAACCACTGTGCTACACCAGGTGTTGTGGCGATGGTGTCGCCGCTCCTTATGTGTTCCACCTTCTGGTGCATGTCGCGGAATTGGCTCTGCTCTTCTTCACCTTGACCCTCGAACTGTCGTCTGCCTTCGCGTGGTTGGAACACTGATGAGTCTTGGAATGTCTCGGCGCATCCGGGGATTACCTTTCCCATAAGACCTCTTCCTATATTGTAACAAGTAATTTACATAGGTTTTAATGACCATGAACCATAGTGTCATGAATTCAAATCTCAAAATAGAAAGAATCATACGTACCTTGAGCCACGAAAGAGAGCTTTGCGGTGTTAACGAAAGAAGGCAAGTATAGACCCTTAGACTCGATGACATAACGGACGAAGGAGACGCCTGAGCATCGGAGCTGAGGAGCGTGGTGATCCCACACCTCGATGCGACCAGCCTCGCTCTTTAGTACGTGTGAAGGCTCGAGCGCATTGAGCTGTTCGAGCTGGCACTCGTTGGGAAACTGCTGAGCTGTGTAGCCATGGAGAAAGACCAAAAGTGTTAAAGAGAAAGAAAGAAGAGAAGAGACTCTAGCCATTTTTTGTTATGTTTCTTTTTCTGTGGTCTCTCTAGTCTTAACACCGAGGCTATTTATAGGGAAATTCATTTTTATTTTATTTTAAATTTTAAATGTTTCTGAGGATAAATATTTTGAGATAAGAACCAGGTATATAGAATCGACTATGTACAATTTACACTACACTTGAAATTGCAACTTTTATGTCTTCATCGGAAAATATATTTTGGCTTCACATTGTCAAGAACACATATTAATGAAAGGATTTGACACATTTCAATTTGCATGGCCTTTTCGTGTGCATGTTCCTTACACATCATCTTGAAGATAGGCACATGCATTAGTTGTTGTCATAGGCACATGCATTAGTAATAGGACAAAGCTTTGTTTACTGCATTGCACATATGTTTATGTTTCCAAAATAATATGTCTAGTCCCTACCTCAACTCACCGGTTTCTAATTCATTCATCGTAAAATCCGCTAAAATTAACCTCTTAAGAACAAACATTTTGGAAATTAAATCTAAAGCAATTTTGAATATAGATGGTATTATTCATCATTCATGTGTTTTCTTCACAATTTTTTTTATTTTTTTCTAGGATCATATTAACTTTATTGTTCCGTCGCTACTCTATGAGGAATGATGTACTGTCTCTAAAACTATTTAAATTATAATCTTCTATAAGATTACGAATTTACCACCAATGTAGTTCAGTAAAATCTCATATTAAGTTACTAGTTCACGTGCATGTAAGAATCAGAATTACGGAAACCAACAAGATACATAACACACAAAAGCAAAGTCTAGGGTTGCTTTATATTATTTATTCAATCATTACATTTTATTTATTGGATTATTACGCAAATTGAACCATGACACTTAGTTGCAAGAATAATCAAACTTTTGTCTTATAAACTGTTTGGTAAGTTTCGACGCCGCAGAAGTCGCATAAACATTTAACATCAGCACCATCTCCCCCAGATGCATATACCACCTTTAGCACCCTTTTCCGATTGGCACATTCTTACACAGAACGACGGATATATATATCCGAGCCGCACATAATTCCAAACCAACATTACCACCGTAGTCTTTCAGGCACTCGTCATCAGCAACCGCTTCTGTCCGAGGCATTTCTGCACAAACATATAGTTAACTAAAATGAATATTCACATACTGTACATGACAACTAGAAATACACTGTATATGGATTTTTTTTTTTTTTTTACTGTATATGGATATGGATTCTATGAATACAGAGTTTGTTATAGTTTTTTTTTACCAAAGATGACCAGAACCAGGAGCAAAAAGATGGCTAGAGTAGAAACTAACTTCGTTGCCATGGCCATTTTCTCTTTGTCTCTCTTTTACTTTGGAGTTCTTTATGTCTAAATGGTACTGATATGCTCAACACTTGATGTGGTGCTATTTATAAACTAATTACCACGACACGAGAAACACGAGTTTACAGTTTCATCACCCATACTCTCCGAGTTAACCGGAATATTTAGGTTTTGTACCGTTTTAAATCGGTTTGACAATATATATTTCTCGTTACCTTGGCCAGTGGGTGAGTGTGGGCATTTGTTTGACCTTGCTCTCATTTGTACCTCTTTAAAAACTCTTCAAAATTAAATATATTCATCTAAAAATGCTAATTGCAGAATTCTATTAATTTTTTGAATCTTTTACTGATTTTCTAAACCACATACAATGAAAGTTAATAAGTCGTCACAGTAATTTTAGAAAAGCAAAAAAGGACGGTGAAAAATATGGACAAGGTAGAAACTAGAAACTGACTTCATTACCATGCTCTCTGTGTAGTCTCTATTCTCTACTCATGCGCTCTCAGCACTTACTGTGGTGCTTTAGACCATCTGTAATGGAGTATTTAAGGCTCGAACATTTGGCTTACAAAGTTTGTTACTAAATAGATAAAGGAATCCATATATAATACCAAAAAAAAAAAAAATAGATAAAGGAATCCATATATATTAGTCTTACTTAATTTGTTAAATGTTTTATTTTATAGGTTTACTCATTTGTATTTACCCTATCTATATCCACATTGGAATTTTAGTTATTCAATCACGGTTAATTATCACTAATTGATAGTTTCAATGTTTATTAAAATTTGATGTTAAAATAATTAGATATATGTAAGCAAGATAAAGATACGGAAGAAAGAAAGATAAAATGGTTGAATTGGATTCATTTTGTTATGAATGCAAATTTATGAAAATTCATGAATATTAAAAGAAACTTGGTTCAGTGGCAAAATATGAGAAGATCGGAGAAAAACAAAAAGACATTTTATTCAGAAAAGGAGTTGCATTTTACAGGTAAAAACTTCGACAAAACCAGTTACATTATTATTACTAGCTACTACTATTTAGTTTCCTTTTACAGTAGAGCTTCACTGTTAATCGCCGCCGTGTTTGAACCTCTTAAGCTGTAGTCATCCTTGGCCTTCCGTAGCTAGCTGGACCACTGCTGTGAGTCAAAGTGGTCTCGAGTGTGTTGAACTTGACCCTCTTTGCTTCTTCGGGTGAGATTTCGAATCCATTGGTTATGACAGCCAAAGGTAAACCTCTCAAGACTGAGGTTCTCCCGGCAAGAGTGTTGATTTGTGCGTTTGCGTTTGTCTTGAACTCGACCCACCTGAACTGGTCGCTTGTTGCACGTTTAACCACGGAGAAACCCTGAGGTACGACAATAAGCTGTCCTTGAGAGACTTGTCCGTCGAACACTCTGTCACCGTTGTCGTTTACGATCTGAAGTTGTGCTTCTCCGTCTGTCACGTAAAGGACCGCGTTGGCGTTTGCGTTCCACTGTGGAAGCACCATTGCGTTCTACACCACACACGTTTTAAGAGTCATGTTTAAATAGACATATTATAGCGAACCAAAACCTAAACCGAGCCAAACATTCAAAATGTCCACGTCCACCCTCATGCATATGCATGCATGCATATTTTACTTGGTTCTATATATCTAGTCATGAGTAGTCACTAGTCAGATAATATGTTACTTGGTTCTATCTAGTCATGCATATGTTGTTTAACTTACTTGACGGATAGATCCACGGAGGGCTGAGAGACGGATGAAGCGAAGGATTGGGAGATCGTAACTGTTGAGAGTGCTGAGGTAACCAAGCTGTGGCTTGTACACGTCAGCACGAGACGGGTCATCGAGGTTATCAACGGACCTGGCACTGCATATGGTCTCTTCTAAGCCGTTACCTTCTCTTTCTTCCTCCTGAGGTCTTTGGCCTCTCAAAGGTGGCCTAATGACACCGAACGGGCCTTTGACTCGGACAATGTTTCCACGGTTGTCTTGTTGGTTTTGAAGTTGTTGTGCTGTCTGAAGGTCAATCTTGAAAGCTTGAGCAATAACCTCTGGTCCGAAGCCACTGAAAATGTTCTTTTGTGGCCCTTGCTCTCGGCCTTGTAGCCATACTTGGCCTTGTGGGTTGTTTCCGGCCAAGTAAAATGGCTTCGCAATACATTAAAAAGATAAATCACTTTTTGTTATTTTGTGACTACATATATACTTAATTATATTCTTTTGAGGTTTGGTTTTTTATATACCCTTGGGTTGCGGTCGAGCTGGTTCTGGTGACTAGCTAGATCAAAGACGCTGACGATGACAAGTGGTTGCTGTCCTTCGTTGTAGAACCACTGTGCTACACCGGGTGTGGTGGCAATGGTGTCGCCGCTCCTTATGTGCTCCACTTTCTGGTGCATGTCGTGGAACCTTTGGCTTTGCTCTTCTTCTTCACCCTGACCCTCGTACTGTCGTCTGCCTTCGCGTGGTTGGAACACTGATGAGTCTTGGAATGTCTCGGCGCATCCGGGGATTACCTTTCCCATAAGACCTCTTCCTATAGTGTAACAAGTAATTTACATAGGTTTTAACGACATGAACCGTAGTGTCATGAATTCAAATCTCAAAATAGAAAGAATCGTACGTACCTTGAGCCACGAAAGAGAGCTTCGCGGTGTTGACGAAAGAAGGCAAGTATAGACCCTTAGACTCGATGACATAACGGACGAAGGAGACGCCTGAGCATCGGAGCTGAGGAGCATGGTGATCCCACACCTCGATGCGACCAGCCTCACTCTTCAGTACGTGTGAAGGCTCGAGCGCATTGAGCTGTTCGAGCTGGCACTCGTTAGGAAACTGCTGAGCTGTGTAGCCATGTAAAAAGACCAAAAGTGTTAAGGAGAAAGAAAGAAGAGAAGAGACTCTAGCCATTTTGTGTTATGTTTTCTTACTTTTTTGTGGTTTCTCACTTACGATATGTGAAGCTATTTATAAAAGAATTATTTGAATTTTGTTATTAAAAAAGTTGTTGAGGATAAATTGATTAAGATAAGAACTAGATATAAAGAATCGACTATGTACAGTTTACACTTCACTTGAATTGCTACTTTTGGCTTCACTCTGTACTGAAAACATATCACTGATGAACGGAGTCGACACATTTCAATTTGCATGGCTTATTCTTGTACATGTTTCTTACACCTCATCTTTAAGATAGGCACATACGTTAGCAACATGACAAATCTTTATGTAGTATTTATTGTTTACAATTCTCGAGATATATATAAAAAACAAAAATTAACCATTTTTGTACTTGTCAACAAAATATTAGATTTATTTTTGTTGTTGTTTATTATTCATAAGCTATATATCAATTGATTAGATCGTAATATAATATTGGGAGCATGGTCACATTCAAATTGAGAAAATGATGAGTTTTCCTATAACTCTAGTCAATTTTTTTTTTTGTCAACAAAACTTTAGTCAATTATTATGAATACATGCAAAGGAAAAAATGTTTGTATGGAAAATAAGTATTAAAGCATGATGGAGAGAAAAGACGTGGCGAAAGAAAACAGCTGAGAGATGTGGCGGACGCGACGAACATGTTGCGACGAGTGTACGGCTGCATGCGCTTATTCAGTGTCTAATGTAGAACTCGAAAACGTTAGAGCATGGGCATCATTCGGACGATTTGTTTGGTCCTAGAACAAAAAAATAAATTTTTCTTTTTTATTTTTTATTTAAAAAAAAAAAAAAAAAAAACCAATTGCCGGTCGTCACGTGTCACTGGAGCCACGAATAGTGAAAAACCAAAATAAAAAACGTCGAGTATGTGAGTACGTCCCATTTATTTTTCATTCTTTTTGATTTTTTTAAATAAAAATTAGAAAGACAAGGATAAGGGATCCGATGCTCATGGACTTAGACCATGTTTAGTAGAGGATCTCGTTTACGGTACTTCAAATTAAATTATAAATATATTTTACAATAAACTAATCAAATAAATCTATTAAAAACTTTAAACAAAAATCACCTTCCACTAGAGAATCGTCGGATTCGACAGAGAAAGAGAGAGAAAATTTCGCGAGAAGAAGAAAAAAAATTAGAAAATTGTTTTTTTTTTTGTTTTATATTTTACTCATCTTCCAATAACGAAGTGCCACGTCGCGGGTTTTTAGAGTTGCTTCTGTTGCTTCAAGAAGCAACGATTCTATTTTAATTGGACTCTTTTTCTTATTTTCTTTTTAATTGTTGGCCCACTTTCACTTAGTGAACCCAATGAGTATCGCCGAGTGGACATGCTCTTATAGCACCTCCAAATGTGAGAGACTCTTTTTAAGTATTTTATTAATATAATATGAATATTTTAAATATATTTGAATTATGTAATTAGAAAATAAAAAAAATTAACCAACAATAAAGAGACATGTCATAGATGAGTTCTTAAAAATTTCAGAACCTGTTTTTATTCACTCACTTCTTTTTATCTTATTTTTAATTAAATAATTAAAAAAACTTTAGATAAGAACCACCGTTAGAGAAGCTCTCAGCCTAGTAGATTACTGTACATATTTATTTCATAATCTATTTATTCAAGATGTGAATGGACACTATCAAAAAGGTCCAAGATTTGGAAATTTCAGTATATATACTTATAATTGTGTCTAAAATAAGTCTTGATTTTACAATCATCGTTCTCCTCTATGATATACTCCTCGAACTCTCTGTCTACAGAATTATTACCGGTGTTTAACATCCGTGACAACGAAGCTTGAGACATATATAGCCGCTACATGAACATCGAGTTTGATTGATTCAACATTCATTGTCGTAGTGAAATCAGATAAAACTCAGACACATATAATGAAAGATTAGATGAAATTGTGGAAAAGGAGTCGTGTTTATGATTTACATAAGCAAACATAGATAATGCGATTTCCTTTTTTTTTTTTTGTTTCCATTTTTCCATTTTTCCTTTCTTCTTTCCTTTACTTTTTATTTAACACATTTTGTTAACTAAATTTACTTTACTCGTTCATTTATTTATTGTTGTGTTTCCTTTTTTTGTGTGTGGTTAAAACATATCTCATTATATACCATAGCTTAACCAAAGTCATTTTTCCTATTGTTAGCCGATTAATAACTTAGTTATTCAAACCTAACTCAATCATTTTATTAAAATTTTGTAAACGTTTGGTAATCATGAAATAATAGAAAAAAAGAAGCAATGGTGGTGTTTTCGTCAAAATTAGTTTGTTTAATGTGAAAATATGACACAATCTAGTTGCTTCTATAGAGGTGAGTATTACAATCTTTTTTTATTTTAGGATTAAATAATTGAATTGTATACTTTCCATAATTTTCAGAAAATTGCTTTTTATTTATCTTTTTTAAAAACAGTTGTTAAAATTTATAATTTTCTTGCGATCATGCGAATTACTAATTTTGAAAACCAAACTTTATATAATAAGATATGATGATCTCTTCCTTTAAAATTTATAGTTAAGTTGTTTGCATGAATTTATAGTGACTAACATCTATCAATATGTTATAAATATCTAAATTAAATAACAAAAGAAAAAAATTGATCTATAGTAAGCAAAAAATAAGCAAAGAAATGAGCAAAACATAAGTAAATGCAGAAAGAAGTAAGAAAAACGAAAAGTGCAGAGAAGTTTTCAATATTGTTGATTCTAGCGACTTTAGGAAATGCGGTAATTTGGAAAACATATGGTGTTTCTTTTTTTATGTTGGATTCTTTCATGGCAGTAATGTTGTTTTCTATTAGATAGACTAATTGATACACTTAAAAAGATTATGTATAATCTCTAATGGCATTTTCTGTTTGCAATTATATATATCAAATGGAGTTTGTACGTTGATGGGATTAGTCCAAGTTGTAATATATTCGGTGTGGTCTACAAGAAGTCTAGCGTAAGGATCATATTGGAGATCGATTAAGTACCAAAACAATAGTATATTTCATTTACAAAAAATAAAACTAGTTTGTTGACAGAAATAAAATAAAATAAAACTAGTTTGTGATACTTTTCTATTTTATTGTTCGTTTTCTTTATTTTGTGTGTGTTTTGTTTACTATTGGCATTTCATATGATGTGAAATAATAACATACGTACGTTAGTAAGAATGTTTTTTTCGTACATGGTTAGGCCGAATATAAATATTTTTTATGCATTCTAATGAACTTTACTATGTGGTTTAGTTATTTGGGCCATACAGGTTTTTTCATTTTTTTCCTATAAATAGTTTGCTTGGACAGGATTTTAGTTGAGTCTTTCATTCTTCCTTTTACTTCTCCAAAATATAAAATCCAAAAATCTAAAAACTGTAGCTTAAAACATTATTTAAGAACTAACACACCCATCCATGGCCTAAATGTTGAAGACTTGAAGCATATCACATGAACAGTTGTTCAATAAGGTAATGCGTCTTTTAACGATCTTATTTTAAATTTCCGTTGCACTTGTTATAAAAATATTATTTTCTTAAATATAATTTAACATCTATATATATAAAGTTAGCTTTTTCTCTCTTCTCATAATGCCACCTAAGCATCCACCTAAGCCACATTTTTGTTTAAACATTAAAATAAATTTAAAACATTTATTTAGTGCATATTTATGTTACTTATTTAATTAACAGAAAGTTTATATAAATAAAAAAAATTATGTAAAAAAATGAAATGTTAAAATAAGAAAAACAATACTTTAATTTTTTATTAGTGGTAATAATATAATTCAACTTTCATTTTAAACTGATCATAATTTAATATTTTAAATATGTTACTGACTTTTAGAATGGAAGTAAAATTTACATTTATGGTAGACTAAAACAACATTTATGTAATTGTATATATAAAATTATAAAGAGGAAAAAAAATAAAAGTGAAATATTAGTTTATAACATGATCAAGAAGAAAAAAAATGATATTTCATAAATTGAATCAAGTGCTTTTAATCCAAATTTGAATATTAAAAGATAATAATTAAAGAGAAAATAATTATAATATTTTTTGAAAATCAATTAAAAATAATAAAATATCACAATATGAATAAAAAATTAACGAAACAAAATTATAAATCTCCCGCGCGGGTCAACTGCTAGTTATTTATAAAAAAGGTCATGTGTATAATCTTATGGATCATGTATATATTCAATAAGTTCAAGGTGGCCCTAACATAGTCCAATACATGCTTTCTGTTAGCTCAATTCAATATTCTTGTGCTCTTCAACTACGTGCCGTTTGGCCAAGAGAAAAGCATCATGCATTGTGAAAAGGGAGCATTGAGAGCAACACGAGATATATGCTCCACATGTAAATGACTCTACACCAAGAATCATTTATGATAAGTTGATATAAGCCATGCTTCGAACCGATTCAATAATAAACCATATTTCATTATTTACCAAAACAAAGCTAGTGTTCAGTGAAATGCTAATATTCGTAACGGTTGGTAATCATAGATCAAAAGCAACAAAACAAACATTAGTAATGATCACAACATATAGAAAAAGTCTTAATATAAAACTGGTAATGACCAACTTGTTCATCCCAGGCTGTCACTTAGCCATACTTAGACTTTTGTCCATACAATGAAACAAACACGTACATGTCTACATATACGACTATACGGATGTGCAATATTGTATATACATACGTATATCATACAGATACATGCATGATGCATCTATATTTTTGTATATATATTACTAAAGTTTTCCTAATTAACTAACTATACTAATCTTTTTCCTGATTAAAGAAAACACGTAACCAATATCAAAAGTGTTTATCATTATTGAACCATTTATATGTGTATTTATGTGTATAATAAATTAATCAAGTCATCGTTTTCATTGTTTATTAGACTACTAAGTACCAACCCACCATTAATTAATTGGGAGTTTTGTGTCTAAGAGGTATGTGTTTAGTGTCGGTTGTTACTCTTAAGTAAGTATACATTTACATTCATAGTAAAGGCAAGATTCCAATCTTATCACCATTCATGCTTTTACAATTCTGATGTGAATTATAATATATATTTTTATAGTTTTATCTTATAACTTATTATAGTGTTATTCAACTAATTTTTCATATATATCCTAAAATATTAAAATATCATATCATGTATCTTTTTCAGAAATTAGGATCATTCAAACGAATTAAATGTATAATTTGTATAAAGAATCCAATTTTGTCGGCAAATTTTTTTGTCAAAACGACGTATTAACCAATCCCATCTCATTCCAACTAAGTCACAACTCATCACTAAACATTTCTCTCATCCATATAAACCATTTAACTCCCAACCTCATTTTCCCACTAAACTCAAAACTCATAACGCAATGGCCACCCTTCATCTACCTCTAGCTCCTCTCCTCCTACTTATCCTCACCGCGGCCGCCTTCCTCTCCACGGAGATAGCTGCTCAGCCCGCGGCTCCGGCCCCTGGCCCTGCCCGTCCCATCAACATCACGGCGATACTCGAAAAAGGCGGTCAGTTTGTTACATTCATCCGTCTTTTAAACACAACTCAAATAGGAAGCCAAATCAATATCCAAATCAACAGTTCATCTGAAGGCATGACCGTATTAGCACCAACGGACAACGCATTCCAAAACCTTAAACCCGGAACACTAAACAAACTAAGCCCGGACGACCAAGTCAAGCTCATTCTTTACCATGTTAGTCCCAAATACTACACATTGGAGGATCTTCTCTCTGTAAGCAACCCGGTGAGGACTCAAGCTTCAGGTCGAGACGTTGGTGGGGTTTACGGACTTAACTTCACCGGTCAAGGGAATCAAGTCAATGTATCTACCGGTATCGTTGAGACACGTCTCAGCACTTCATTAAGACAACAACGTCCTCTTGCGGTTTACGTGGTGGACATGGTTTTGTTGCCGGAAGAGATGTTCGGAGAACGCAAGATCTCACCAGTGGCACCTCCTCCGAAGAAATCAAAATCTCCTGATGTCTCTGATGACTTAGACACAAACTCCACCAAGAAAGCAGCGCCTCCGACGGAGAAGTCTGGCTCCTGTGAGATGAAGTCTGGATTAGGGTTTGGTCTTGGACTTGTTGTCTTGACTTTGAAATTCCTCTTTTGAGTTTGTTTCTATATATGTTGATTTAATTTAATTGTGCGGTTTGTTATAAGAAATTTATTTATCTATTATATATGATTGCATGATTTTAAAATCGAGTTATATACTGTTAATTATTACTTTAATTTAATGATAAAATTCCCATTTTCTGAAGAGATCTGTATTTTTTTGTTAGTTCTTTGATCTGAAAAAGACGACAACCACATTCAACTGCAATTACAATTCCATGAATATAACTGTTGCAAAACATTAATTTAACTATGAATTTTGAACATACCAAAAAAAATTGTTTCAAAATTTGGTTATATAAATTTAATAAAATATCTAGCTGTAAAATTTGTCTGAAACATTAGAAAGACAAAACCGTTCCAACCAAATAAAAAAGAATGACAAAACCGTTAACTTTATTTTATTTACTTTAATTATCCCTTAATAGGCCTATTAAAGCCCATTAACAAAATAAATAAAATAAAATTAACGGTTTGAACATTAAACAACCGTTAACTTTATTTTGTTGTTGTTTAATTTCCAGGTTTATCCAGAGGGCACACATTTTATGATACCATGGTTTGAAAGACCAATTATCTATGATGTTCGTGCACGACCTTACCTTGAGGATAGCCAAAACTGGAAGTCATGATCTTCAAACCGTATGTGTAACTGTGTAATAGCGATCTGTGTTTCTTGTCTATATATCTGTTTTTGTTTCTGATGCTTTTGTTTGCTGCTGTACAGGTTTCAATTGGGCTTAGGGTTCCAACACGTCCTATGGGCGACCGTTTGCCCGAGATTTACAGAACACTAGGTGTGAATTACGGAGAGCGAGTTCTCCCTTCCATCATCAATGAAACACTGAAGGCAGTAGTGGCTCGGTACAATGCAAGCCAGCTCATGACACAGAGAGAAGTTAGTATCCTAGGATTCTTACTCTGATGTTCTAACCGTGACATTTTTTGCTCTGTTTGTCAAAATCCTATAATGTTTGTTTCTCTCTTCCAGGCTTGTGAGTAGGGAGATACGCAATATTGTGACAGAGCGAGCATCTAAATTCAACATTGCTTTAGATGATGTGTCTATTACAAACCTTAGATTTGGCAAAGAGTTCACTGAAGCAATCGAGAAAAAACAAGTTGCGGCTCAGGAAGCAGAACGGGCTAAGTACATTGTCGAAAAGGCCGAGCAAGAAAAGAAAAGTGCTGTTATCCGCGCACAGGTAATTTAACTGCATATTTTTTTGTGACAGCATTATACGTCTCTCGTTTGTAAGTTGTTAAATATCAATTTTGTGATTCGCAGGGAGAAGCTAAAGAGTGCTCAACTCATTGGCCAAGCTATTGCGAACAATAAAGCTTTCATCACTTTGAGGAAAATCGAAGCTGCAAGAGAAATTGCTCAGACCATAGCAAAATCAGCCAACAAGGTTTACCTAAGCTCCAACAATCTCCTGCTTAATCTCCAAGCAATGAACTTGGAGCCTAGCCCTAACACGTAGAGCAAAGAAGAAGTCACTTCGCATTGTCCAAATGGCCCTTTTGCTCTTTCTCAAGATTTGCTCATCAACCATTCAACATTCGTTTGAGATTTGAACAGTCTTTATAGATAACAAAGTAATACTTTCATTCACCTATGTTATACAAAAAGGTGTGCAAGTTAACAAATATATCAATCAAATCGTGTCCAACCAAGAATCAAACTCATCTAAAACTTTGGATTTTCCAACTGAGGACGACGAAGAGGTCTGGTTCTGCTGTGGTTTGATCGATGCTGAAGTACTTTCAAGCAAATCATCAAGCACATCATCAAAACCCGTTGTGTGAAGCTTTTGACCAGATGAGCTGTCTGGATTGTTGTATGGTTCTGGGCTACTATGAAAATTGAGAAGAGAATCTAGCTCTGTTTCAAAAGCTGAAGATTTTTGGACACAAGGATTCTGATTGGATGTACTTGAGGCGTTCCCCACCGGGTTAGGCTGAGTATGTGCTTCACTGACGGAGTTGAGGAGAAAATCTAGATCATCTTCAATTGCTGAAGCTTTCTCTGATTCGTCTGTAAGTATTCGTATTTCCTTAACTTGATCCAGAAACTCGGCTTCCAAGACTGATGATTCACCTTTTGCAACCTTAAGCTTTCCACTGAATTCTTGTTGAGCCGGCTCATTTAGCCTCGCTATCACAGCTTCAGCATCATATCCATCGCCGCCCACTTTTGATTGGGCTGTACACTGCAGAACCCATAATATCCAATACGTCAAACATAGAGCCTAGTGATGATTCTAAACTGTTTAGATCCAGTAAGTAGTAAGTACCAGCTCGGGCAATGGCAAAAGATCAGGTTCAATGTAGAGTCTCTCGTGCAAGTCCACTTTCTCTAGTGCATTTGCCAGAGCATTCAAATTCAAGGAGAGGAATCCAGGCTTCACTTAAGATAAGTTGGCAAATAGTAACACGATTAGCAAAGTTAAAGACCTCCCCATCTTTTGCTGATAAACAAGAGTTTCATTACCTCCTGATACGAAGGTGATTCATCTTCTTCAACAACAAAGTTATCATCTTCCATCCACGAAACTATACCTTCCCCTCTAGCAGAGATCATAGATCCAACAACACGACTAAATTCATCTGCAACAAATTCATAAAGTTGAATACTTTGTACTAACAACACTAAATCAAAGCAAACATGGTTCCTCTTCGACCCCATACCGTGCAAAAGATCGTCTAGGGACGATAAACAATCTGAATTGATACGAATCTTTGAATGAGACTCAGCTTGAGCTTCAGATATCAAATGCAAATAATCAGCTCCTTTGCTCTTCGGCAGAGTAACATCAGTAGTTTGGCTAATCGACGAACCCTCAGCTGCATCAAGCTCATCATCATCATCATCACTATAACGATCCCAATTCGACGGGAGTGCAGAGACTCGACGAGATTGAACCGGAGTCTTGGTTTGGTTCCCTTGAAGCTTCTCTGGATTTTTCTCTGAAACTACAGAAACTTTCTGCTTATGAACAGAATGCGATTTCTTGCTATGGTGTTGAGTGTGAGCTCTCTTCGATTTCGCCAGTGATTTTGTGTCCATCGCTGAGGAATTGAACCAAAACCAAAACTTTCTGAGAAATTAGAAATTGAGAAACTGAACCAAAATTAGGGTTTCTACGCCAACATCAATAAAATCATTCCCAAATCGGTAACAGTACGATTCAAACTAACGCAAAGGAATCACAATAGAATGATAATTTTGAGATCGAAACGAAGTAAGGAAGATCGAAGAAGCTTTGATTTTGGGGAATTTGAGAGAGAGAGAACAGACTACGGAGCGACGAAGAAGAAGAGATGAAACGGAAACTATCGAGATTCGTTGAGTACGACACCGTATTGGTTATTTCTAATTGGGCCATAAAGCCCATTATCTAAAAGGCTTTTTGTTTTTGTGTTTTGATCATTGTGAAAAGGGTTTGTCCGTCTAATGCTAATTAAGATTGCATCAAGATGTTTCTCAAACTAATAATACTCTAAAGCTAAATTAACCTCTAATCTGCAAAAAAATATACATATTAGTAATGGGTGTCTCTTTTTTTTTGGAGCTGATAATTTGAGACCTTATGTACATATCTCCACCTATCTTGGATATGATGGACTAAAAGATCAGCTTGGTATTCCAAAAAACACACCATGTGATCCAAAAGATTAGACAATTATCTCTTCGGCTAGGTTTATTTATATTAGAATGGAACATATGTAGACATAGTGAGCTCCCATATATTCAGATAACTTGATAAAATCTTCTTTCCTATGATAACATGTCGTTAATAAACATTGTCAGCTATTGGTTCATAATAAAAACAGAGAATATTGGACGAGTTAAAATAGACGTTGAAAGTCCATTTTAACAAGTATACTTCTATCGGATTAACGAGTTAACATTTATATTTTATTAACTTTTTAAAAAAACTATCGAATTAACGATGCATCTAATGTAACAACGTTTTTTTTTTATCGTATAGTTATTACATTTATTTTAAAAACTGAAAAAGGAATCCCCTCTTGAGTCAGATCTTCTCTTTGCTTTTAACTGACTAACAAGCGTACGAGACTCTTTGTCTTGGGACAAATTGGTGATCGCACACATGATATTACAATGTTTCAAGGATCTAGGAAACACTTTTGGTACAAAGCTTCAAATAATTATCAAATTTATAATGGTTCAAGCATTTGGGAAACACTTATTAGTTAAAAAGCTTCAAATAACTATCAATAACATTTGCTGCCGTACAAATAAACTACATTAATATATGCTTTTACGAACCATGAATTAAGGATCAAGTTGGATGCCGTATAGAAAAGAAAAATATGGATCAAAGTGGACCAAAGTTTGACCATTTTGATAAGGTCCGATATTATATAGAACTTGTCTTTATTACCTATTGTTCCATCCATCCATATAGTACCATCAGAATCAGCTTCCAGTGTTGGTGGTCGTGTGTTAAACCTTATAGAAACCGTCTATTTCCCAAAAATGTATAAGCATTAATTTGCACTCGCAACTGTTTACGTGGATTTGTAGAGTTTGAAGGTAAAAATTTCAATATAAGCTAATATGTTTTACGTTGATCTCACTAAGTTATATTGAATTGTAGGAGACATTGATGATTATTTTGATGATGAAGATATTAATACTACAAATATGGCTAGTACTTCAGGAGTTGAAGAGTCTAACACTTGATGACGTTAGTGATTTGATTAATTGGTTCTTCATATTTTAAGTGTTTCATTATATAATTCTCTAAAATTGTTTGTTTAATTATTTTTCAGAGACTTGTTAGATCGATTGAATGTTTTTAAGTTTCAGATTTTGATGAGTTTTGGATTTTAATGAATTTGGATTTTATATTGTATTTAATATTAGAAGTTGCAGTTTACGTTATATTGTATTTCAATTTTTGAGGATTTTTTAAATATAATTACAAATTAATAACCTTATTTCTTGTTAAGAAAAAAACTTGTGTTAGAAAAAAAGAAAACTGAACAGAACCAAGGCTTCTTATTTTTTCAGAGAGAAAAGGAAAATAAATTCAGGGCCAGAAAGGGTTCAGCCCTTTAATATTAATTTTACAAAAACTTTTTATATTCATGGTTGAACAGGCCAGGGTTGAACATGGCTTACAAGCTCTTTTTAACAATCCTAGTATAATTTACGTCAATATGTCTTATTTTATCAAATTCACTCATTGATTGAATTTGACAGCAAGAAAATAACTTAGCTATCACCCTAGTTGTATTTCGATTGTAAGCAAAATAGTAGTTAAAAAATATAGATTACAAAAATGAGATTTCAATACAATAGAAATTGACTCTATAAGTATATATATATAATGGCAAAATTATATTAAAATTTTGATTATGTGTGTGACAACTAAACAACTACTTTTATATTTAGAGATAATACTATTTATTTCTCAATTAGCTAGCACCAATATATGGATTGTTCGAGTCTCTATCAACTTTGTGGAAAAGGTTGATGAAGAGTGTGACTTTATCTTTTAGTTACTTTTTATAACCCATGAAAGAGAATCTTAATTAAGGTCCCATTTCAATGTTTTCACAGGAAGTTGCATGTAAAAGTTGTATAGAATCCCTAGCTACTTTGAATATCTGAAAATACGATCGAGTATTTAGCTGTAAGAGTAATTAGAAAAGTATATATATGTTTTACGTACTAAACATTATTTAAATTATGGTTCTTGTTGTAATTATGTGTTGGCTAAAAAAACAGAAATTTACGTCGAAAATTTTACGTGACGCTTTGACGCATTCGAAACTGTCGCTTAGTAGCTGAATTTGCAGTTTGGTAATAGAAAAGTCAAGAAACAAAATGGGTTTTTTGTCTTGTAATAATTGTCTATAGTGATTGACCAAAAAATGTATTGGATTGGTCAAAATGTGAGTAAAAACAATAACGCCATTATCATTCACTAAATGACATATGTATACTTTTAACTCTATAATCGTATCTTATTGATAATGATCTGTATATATCGCCAAATTTGAATGCCATGAATCTATGATTTGTCTTCTTTGAAATGTCGTTTATCGATCGCACCCTTGTCCATGTTTATTTACTTTATACTCGTCTATTGATACTTACATGACCCTTTAACTTTGAACTCTTAATTCTATCTTATAAAGAGTTTAGATGACTCAGCTAAAATCATAGATTGTATGATTTTAAAGGATTGTTTGAGAGTTTTATACAATCTTGTTGATTAGTTTTTTAAAGTCTTGTAAAGTCTCTCAAACAATCTCTGTATTTATAAGATACTTTTCATGACTTTATTTTGTAAAGAAGAGTGTTTAAAATCATAAACCAATAACATAAAATTTTTATTCATTAACAATCAGAGATTCTTTAGTTTTAATTGAATAACACATAACTTTTAATGACTTTGTAAAACTCTGTATCCAATAACTCGATATTTATGAAGATTTTGAAAGACTCTTTACAAATCAATAACTAATAACAACAAACTTTAAAAGAGTTTTGTAAAATCTTGATTGAATAACAACAGATTCTACCTAACATCTAAAGTCATTAAAACTCCATATAACTCACAAACCAATAACACCCCCTTATACTATGCATGAGTCAAAACCTTAAAATCAAATTCACACTCGCTATATATATATACTCGTATGATATATATGGTATCTTCTTATATACAAAAATCGAACTAGAGAGTCTAAGAAACTCAAGCCTTTGTAACAATATATATAGCCGTATACGTACGGTTGGTAAATTGTGTGTATATATAAAGATAGGGATGTATGCGTTTTAACCTAATAATGCATCTGCAAAGAAAAGTATATATTCTTCAACTTTCTTATTATGAACCAAGAGCAGAGCATGTGGTATATCTGTAATGTACCCTCTAGATCCACATCTTGTCTTGCCTTTGCAATATATATATATTTCTACTTACTTTTATTTAGCTTCAATTCTGAGGAGATAAAGCGTCAGTTCCCTCAATCCTAAGTCATATTTGTATTTTAAAAACTATAAAACATAGACACACAAGTTTGTTTTAATCTTCACATTAGCATATATACGAAAAATATAGTTTCATATATATATATATATATGTTTATATTTGTGGATATATACATGCATTTCTGTCTTGGCATATTTTTTTATGTGTGGGAACAATACTATACATTATAAGGTCTTGAAAATTGTGGGAGAATATTCTGGTGCCACCAAAGTTCAAGAAGAAAAATCCAAAAATTTTATTAATTAAAAAAAGTTTACCAGTTTTTTTAACACAAAAAGGACACTCTTAAAAACATCATTACATTATGATTAAAGTTTTAATTGTGCTCAAAAAGAATTGTTAATTAAGTCAGCCCACAAGCAGTCGACTTCCAAAAACCTTACCTGCCTTTTGTCAGTTCTATGTCTCTCGCCTTTATTCCTTTTTAGTTAAATCATGATAATCTCACGTATTAGCTTAGGGCAAACATAAACTATAGTTAGATTTAGTTAATTGTTACTATTTGTTAGAAGATCGATATGAATGGAAAAAAAGTCATGCTTCAACGAGGTGCATGCCTCAACATATAAGTATATCTTATAATACATAATATATATAACATGTATAATAAAACTGTATATTAACATTCGAAAACTATATATAATTATAATGTCAAGAAACCTATAGCGTATAAAGGTTTTATTGTTATTGCTCACTAAGCAAGAGAGTTTAATTAACCTCATTAAGGTACATAGGGAAAATGTAAGTTAATGACAAATTATATTTAAATTAAAGTATATCATAATATATGATTATCCAAAGTATAGTTGCCTATGTGATTAGCTCAAGTGATATTATGCTAAAGTTATTAAGCTGATTAATTTAGTTTTTTTTTATCTTGGTGATGTAATAATGTAGAATTTTAGATTGATGATATTCTCAAATATAGTGATTAATACATATATATATATATATATATATATATATATCTCATGAATAAGTTTGAAACCAGCTTATATAGGAATTACATATAGCATGAGATGTAAAAGAATTTCGCAAAGATGTGAGACCCATATATATTCTTATGTTTTGTGAAAGAAATAAAAATTGACTTTGTTAAATTACAAATTTTTGTGATACTTTTTTCCAAAAGAAAAATACGCTTTGTCACTTGAATCACTTTCTTAAAAGAAAAAGAGGGGAAAAAAAGGAGAAAAATTATCATAGAAAAGCAAGAAAAATTATACTCTTATCTAACCATTCAATAAAGTCACCAAAATATTTTCACAAATCCAAAAACAAATATTCATAAATAAAAATGTTAATTAAGAAAACAGTTTCAGAGTTATAAAGAGTTTGATTTCAGCAGCTAACTTCATCGGAGTAATAAAATCTCAACATTTCATAATAAGAAAAGTTTTGATTTTACTGTCGAAGGAACTCTTAATATGTATCTTAAGCTAGGTATTTTTTTTGTCGTATGTTGTTGGATTATACCTAAAGAGCACGTGCATGGGTACACGTGCATTGCAGGCTTTGTTCGACAAACAAGAGATGTAACCATCACCGTAGGATGTGTTTCACATATACTACTGAATAATTCTGATTCATATGAATGACTATATCCACATATATGATGGGATTGATCATTCATTTGCCTGTGTTTTTAAAGCCAATACAATCCTTGCAAATATAAAAAAAAATTGATCAAAACAGTTATAATTTCTTTATTTTTCACTGATAAATTTTTGCAATATACATAGGTCAAAACCATTTTTAACTTGTTTTATATGTTTAGTTATTTCTAACCTTTAAAATCAGCATATCAGAGTTTTTTTTTTCTTTTTGTCTTTTAACATGAAACAATAAGGTTTATACGAAGGGATTCTTAGACAAATATGAATATGCCATTTTATCACTTAAAATTCCCATATTTATGTTATGTTTTAGCTAAAACACACCAAAAAATGAAACTAAATAAACCCAAACATACTTAACGAGTAAAACCCATAATCGTGTTTTTGTAGCATGAAAATGACAAATGCATAAGATTTTCCCAAAATGGCAAATCTAAAAATTTGCAAACTCATAATTAATTCATTTATAAATCATGTAATATTAATTATGATTTTATTTTATTTTTGTTTTTGGGTAAAATAATTGTATTTTACTTTAACTAGAGATGTATATTGGTCTATAACCCCAATTCAATTTAGATAAAATTTACGATTACATAAAATCTTATGGTAAGAAAAGAAAATTTAAACTATAAACAATAGGAACAAAAAGTAAGTAATTATTGGACCCAAAAAAAAAACAGAAAAAAATGGAGGAAGAACACAAATAACGAGATCATCATTCTAAAGGCAGAATTATCAAACTTTCTATGTGTCATAACGCACTACTCAAACTGTTGCAGCAAAATTCATATATTTAAACTAGTAGTTCATCAAAAATCAAATAAGAGTTTCAAATTGTATACAAAAAACTATGTAATATTTAATTAGAACAATGAAATAAAACAAAGACCTAACAAAAAAAATTGTTTGATATACTCAAATACTAAAACTGATAGAGAGTGAGCCAATAATATTATCAAGGCATGGTAAAAATTTTTTTCTATTTTGTACATTTATTTATTTATATTGGCTTTGTTCCTATGATGCTATCACTTTCAACTTATGATTTTCCACCGCCATCCACTTTGCAATCTTATAATAATCTGATAAAGAGGAGAAAAATTACAACTAACCTTTAATTTTTTAATGGCTGCAACAGTTTAACAGATCAAGGTGCTCATATACACCCACACACACACATACATTTTTATATATAGGAGCTAATAATATAGAGTGGTATAGGTTAAAGACAAAAGCCATATATAAGTGGAGAACCCAATATATCTTTGTCTTTGTTGTTTTTTTTTTCCTTCTTTCTCACATTCATAGTTAACTTGCAGATTTCTAATCTTTTTTTCATTATATCACCCTTTTGTCTCCTTCTCATTCTCTCTCTCAGCTATATACAAAAACCTACTTTTAATTTCTCTCTTAATAAGTCAAGAATCCAAGAAGAAGAAGACATGACGACAGGTGAAGTTCTTCAAACAACAATCTCTAGTACTGGATCAGGCTTTGCTCAGAGCTCTTCAACTCTGGATCATGATGAATCTCTTATCAATCCTCCTCTGGTTAAGAAGAAGAGAAACCTCCCTGGAAATCCTGGTAATAGATTAATTATATTAAATCTAGCTAAGCTAGCTTGATCAGCATCACCTCAAAAAGAAAACCCTAGATTCTTGTTCTACCTTTTTCTCTATTAAGTTGTTTTTTGTTCTAGATCTTGACCTATATATACATCAAAAATATTATATATATATATGGCTGCATGAGTTATGTATTCGATCATTGAATCATCATCATGTTTAGTTAAAAGTTTAAGAGAGTTCTTCTCTTGGTTTCCATGAGAATATATATATTTACATGTCCTTAATTTATCATTACTACCCCACAAAGAAAAGGCATATACATTGTTTTGACTATATTACATGATCTGATTTTTTTTTTTTTATATAAAGATTTTGTTATCGGGTTTGACCTAGTTAATGAAACCACAAAAATGTTAATGATCCACTTAGATCCGGAAGCTGAAGTGATAGCTTTATCACCTAAGACGTTGATGGCAACAAATCGGTTCCTATGCGAGATCTGTGGCAAAGGTTTCCAAAGAGACCAAAACTTACAGCTTCATCGGAGAGGACACAATCTTCCATGGAAGTTAAAGCAGAGGACAAGCAAAGAAGTGAGGAAACGTGTCTACGTTTGCCCTGAGAAGACATGCGTCCACCATCACTCCTCTAGAGCTCTAGGCGATCTCACCGGGATCAAAAAACATTTCTGCCGGAAACATGGCGAGAAGAAGTGGAAGTGCGATAAATGTGCCAAGAGATACGCTGTCCAATCTGATTGTAAAGCTCATTCCAAGACTTGTGGTACTAGAGAGTACCGTTGCGACTGTGGCACCATTTTCTCAAGGTGCGTAGTATCTTTCTTTTTCTATCAACCACACGATTAAAGTAAACTAAACTTCATGTGAACTATCTCCAAATATACATATATATATATATATATCATGTATATATGTGTTGTCTTTTTGTATTCATCATGTTCGAAAGCTATTCTATAGTAGCTTTTTAGAGTCCGAATCTTGGTTTTTGTCAATATATAGTTTGATTAAGTTTTCTAAGTATGTTTTTGTCATTTTCTATGTGTTTTGTTTATCTTCTTGAAGTAGGGTAATGTTTCTTGCTTGGTAAATATGTTTTTGTTTGTTTGATGATTGTTGCAAAAAAGAGTATAAATTTATAATAACCATATGATGAAACATAAGCTAAGCTAGAAATCATAATATATACAAATATATAGGGAGTATATATATATGCATGTAAACTTCAAAAATGGTAACATTATATTTTACTATATATGTGGAAAAAAGTGTCAACACAATTTGACAAATCTGTATTTGTATTTAGCCTTTTCACTTTTTACTACAGAACATAAAAGAAAAAAAAAACAAAAACTAAAGATTAATGTTGGTTTTGGTTGAAACAGGCGTGACAGCTTCATTACTCATAGAGCTTTTTGCGATGCCTTAGCTGAAGAAACAGCTAAGATAAACGCAGCGTCTCATCTCAATGGTTTAACCGCCGCCGCTGGAGCCGCAGGATCAGTAAATCTCAACTATCAATATCTTATGGGAACACTAATCCCACCGCTTCAACCATTTGTGCCGCTACCGCAAACAAATCAAAACCATCATCACCAGCAACATTATCAGCCGCCACCTGCGTCGTCCTCGTCCCTCTCCTTATGGATGGGACAAGACATCGCGCCGCCTCAACCGCAACCGCAAGACTACGACTGGGTTTACGGAAACCCTAAGGCCGCGTCTGATCAGTGCATTGATAACAATAATAATAATCGCGATGAGCTCATTGCACAAACCGCAAACGCAAGTTCGGCTACTACTACTACTACTCTCTCTGTCCCTTCTTTGTTCAGCAATGACCAAACGCAAAACACAAACGCAAACGCGAATATGTCCGCTACAGCTTTACTACAAAAAGCGGCTGAAATTGGCGTTACATCGACGACGACAGCCGCGACCAACGACCCGTCGACGTTTCTTCAAACCTTCCCGCTAAAATCCTCCGACCAAACCGCCACTTACGACGACGGAGAAAAGTTCTTTGCGTTGTTCGGATCTAACAACAACAACATTGGACTAATGAGTCGTCATACTCATGATCAGGAGATTGAGAACGCTAGAAACGACGTTACGGTTGCGTCTGCGTTGGATGAATTACAGAACTACCCTTGGAAACGTAGGAGAGTTGATGGAGGAGGAGAAGGAGGTGGAGGAGGGCAAACTCGAGATTTCCTTGGGGTCGGTGTACAAACGTTGCGCCATCATCCATCGTCTATCAATGGATGGATTTGAAACATAACAAAAGTTTCGAGTGCAATGCATAAATAACAAAAAAAGAAGACTCTTTTGTAATTTTACACCATTTTCTAAAAACACATATGGTAATGGAAAGTTGTTTTCTTTTATTAATTCAAGATTTTGAAGCTTAATCATTTCTGATACATATGTGATAATGAACTTGTTTATCTTTAATTAGATACATAAGTCATATATGTATTTTTAAGCTAAGCAATACTATTTCGGACATACAACAAGATGTACAACTAATATTTAAGACATATAACCTACAATAATATATTTCTAAAGAATTATTAAAGTTTATAATTTAATTAATATTTTAACTTAACCTAATAATCGTTAAGCTTTCAAAAGTTTTCGTATTCAAAACTCTCTCCCCCCTTATTATTGTTTCTTTTTTTTTTTAATGTTCCACTCATCTCTATTATATTCATCTTCGAGTTTCACTATTTATCGTTATTCATCTAAGGAATCAACTAATTCAATTGGAGTGTTAAAACAATTTATCTTTATTTTCATGGGATGCATGGTCTATAGATATATAAAGTTTGAACATCGTCAAGCAACCCAAAATACATATAAAGTTGACTAAGTTGTGATATCGATTAGTAGACTGATTTCACGAATATATTGGGTCAAGGAATAAAGGCATTCAAGGAAATAATATTGGTTTTATAAGCATATTCGGTGAAGAAGATAAAGTGAAGATCCATGCATATTCTCCATTAAAGGAGTAAGAAAAGGTCTTTTCTTCTTGTATGCAAAGAATATACAAAAACAAAAAGCATAGATAGAGTGGAGAAGTGGTGGCTGTAGGGACAATGAAAGGTGGAGACTTTTGGAGCTCAATTATTTAAATCCTAACCCTAACTCGAAGGCAAAAAATTTTAAACTTTATAGTGGAGGAAAAGAATAGGAAAAGAGAAAAAGCTTGATATTCCTAGCTTAGGCTTTTTTCCACCTTTAGCTTATCTCTCTTTTGAATTCATGAAGAAAATTAGATTCAATCATATGTTAATATATATATATATATATAGATAACTCGATAAGTTTAACAAAAGAAAAGACAATTATTTTTTTTCTTTATTAAAAAAACTTTTTACATTTTCTTTAAAATATATTGTTAAAACGAAACTTAGTCGATAATATATAATATTTTAGAAATATGAATTGCTTTATATATATATATATATATATTTTAAATTTCACAACGATGTTATATTATTTTCTAGCGTTTATGCATTATTTCGAAGAAAATGCAAGATATATACTAGATAGTTTAGAAAAACATATAAGAATTGTTCTAATTGATTTTAATGACAATAAGAAGATATCTTACAAAGCTAAAGTTGTACACATGATAAGAAAATATTTTACAATTCTACCTGATGTCACAAACCTCACCAAGCTGTTTCAACCATGCATGACCATCTAATCTTTTAAAAGTTTCAGTTATAACTATTAATCTCATAAGCCTTCAAAGGTATAAGAGGAAATGAAATTTGTGCCTGTACTAGATAGTTCAATTTTTTTTTTTTTTTTGTCTTCGTAGCAGCTTCATCAAGCTGCTTTGTTATATTACCTATATTAGTTAGTGCCTCAACACCTAAATGCTATCTTTTATTATTCATTGGATACTAAGCGTTTGGATATTTTGAAGACTAATTTGATGAATTTTTTTCTTGTTAATTATGCAAGTGAGATTAAGAAAAAGAAGTTATAATTTCTGCTCATTTTTAGTTAATCTTTAAAATAATAATACATAATTTTTGTATTTTAAAAATATTAATTTCACCGACAAAAAAATATTAATTTCAGAAAAATACAATTCTGATTGTTGAAAAAACAAACAAAACATATGTGACTACCCTATAAAAGAAACATGTAGGGCAACTAAATTTACAGACCATTTAGGACAAAATGTTAAACCAACTACCAAACTTAGCTTTTGCCTATGTTATAGAAAGATATAATAACAATTGGTATCAAACTGAACTAGGATTGGACCCGCGCTATAGTGCGGAGGAAAATTTCCAATTTCATTTTTGTACTTATCTTTTAATATATAGGATACAATACAATTTCGGTGACCGAACCAGAAACTCAATCAGTAACTCATAAAACTAAGGAAATGCCATAATACTTGTCTTTTATATATTAACATCGTTTTAATATACTACTAATGTTTGCACAAACTTATAAACACATTTAACAAGAATGATCTCTATGTTATTATTATATATGTATGTGTTGAATGCATTATTTTTGTGATAAAACTAAGGAAATGCCATAATACTTGTTTTTTTATATATTAACATCGTTTTAATATACTACTAATGTTTGCACAAACTTATAAACACATTTAACAAGAATGATCTCTATGTTATTATTATATATGTATGTGTTGAATGCATTATTTTGTGACAAAAAACGTATAATAAGTTTATACCTATCACAAAAAAACGTATAATAAGTTTATAACTAGTTGAAAACATGCACTAATTCTGCAAATGTACGTAGATAGATACGTATAAGGAGGGTAGTAGCGTATTTGGTTAACATCACGAACTTCAAGCCCATAAAAAGACCCATTAGTGACAGTAGCGAAAGCCCTAATTTCCAAATACGTAGGCCCATTAGGAGGCTAGTAGCGTGTTTGGTTTGCATCACGAACTTCAAGCCCATACAAAGGCCCATTAGTGACAATAACGAAAGCCCTAATTTCCAAATACACAGGCCCATTAGGAGGGTAGTAGCGTATTTGGTTAACATAACGAACTTGAAGCCCATAAAAAGGCCCATTAGTGACAATAACGAAAGCCCTAATTTCCAAATACACAGGCCCATTAGAAGGGTAGTAGCGTATTTGGTTAGCAAAACGAACTTCAAGCCCATAAAAAGGCCCATTAGTGCAAATAACAAAAGCCCTAATTTCCAAAATACACAAAAGTTGAGAGCGGAGTCCCCTCAGAGAAGAGAGAGAAGAAGAAAATGAAATTTACAGATTCTCCGGTGATCGATCTGACGGTGAACGGCACAAAACTCTCAATCCAACAAGACAATGGCTCGATGCACGTCGGAACCTCCGTATGGCCATGCTCACTAATCCTCTCCAAATTCGCCGAGCGATGGTCTACACTAGACTCCTCATCATCAACCTCTCCGAATCCATACGCCGAACTCTTCGATTTCCGCCGCCGCCGCGGAATCGAGCTAGGAACCGGATGCGGAGTCGCTGGAATGGCTTTTCACCTACTAGGTTTAACGGAGATAGTGCTCACAGACATCGCACCAGTCATGCCGGCGCTAAAACACAATCTGAAACGGAACAAAGCGGCGTTAGGTAAATCTCTGAAAACCTCGATTGTGTATTGGAACAATCGTGATCAGATCGATGCGTTGAAACCGCCGTTCGATCTTGTGATCGCGGCGGATGTTGTGTATATAGAGGAATCTGTAGGGCAGTTAGTGACGGCGATGGAGTTGTTGTTGGCGGATGATGGTGCGGTTTTGTTAGGGTATCAGATTAGGTCACCTGAAGCTGATAAGTTGTTTTGGGAGATGTGCGACGTCGTTTTTAGGATTGAGAAAGTTCCTCATGAGCATCTTCATCATGAGTATGCTTATGAGGAGACTGATGTTTATATCTTTAGGAAGAAGGTGAGTGAAGTTGAAGTAGAAGAATCATGAAGCTTGTTTTAGTTTCTGTTTCTGTTTCTGTTGTGTTGTTGTTACAATGGAATGATCTCATATGTTCTTAGATTATTGTCTTATTGCATAGACAAGAGTTGAACACAATTCCATTAAACTCTCCATTTTTGTAACGATATGTGTTAAAATGTACTACTTTTTTAATTTCTCTAAGTAACTAATTCCCCTTGCCCAAATAAATATGTCAATGTTACCACCACTGTTAGAGCAGGTCCGGTGTTCGATACTGGTTCATGGGTCTGTTAGTGAACGGTTGGGTGTTCGGATCGATTCTGATTGATGGGTCTGTTAGTGCACGGTCGGGTGTTCGGATCGGTTATGGTTCATGGATCCTATGTTAAACTCTTAAGTGAGGGGACGTATATGTGAGTTTGACCTCGAGCGGTTTGGGGTAAAAACACATACATAGGTTAAATTAGAAACGGTTGGAATGAGCAAGACCGAAACCAAACAACATATATACCAAAGATGATATTCATATACATTTTAAGTCAGGGTTTACTTTCAAGGTAAAACTACATGTTATTGTGATGGCATTTACAACATAATGTCATACTTGAATCATCTTCATCTCTTGGCCATGTAATCTAAAACAGGCTTGTCAAAAAGTGGAAAAAAGTAAACGAGCTTGTTAATGAGCTCATTTCGATAATGGGCTTTTTAAAGACCGAACCAACGCGGTCGGTTTTATTACCCAAATGGCAACGACAGGTCCAAATCCAAACACAAGCGACAAAACAGAACACAAGTCCGAAGAAAAAACAAAATACTTTAAAATTTTAATTTTCAAGCGAGAGGAAAAACAAAACAAAGAGAGAGAAACCCGAGTCCTGAATCAAACCCCCTCGATTCTCTCAAAAACCCACCAAAGAAAAAAAAAGAAAAAAAAAAAATAGAGCAATCTGACAATTCACCAAACAAACTCTCATCAAAGTCTTAAAAATTAAATTTTTACTTTTCAATTTTTTTTTCTCCACTCCTTCTCCTCTCAATCAATTCACACACCAATTTCTTTCTTTTCTTTTTTTTTTTTAAAATTTTCAATAAACATTTCCAAGGAAGAAGAAAGTAGAAAAAAAAGAAAAGAAAATTATGATTATGATTGAAACGAATAGTCAGAAAAGAAACAGCACTGGTGCTGGTGTTGGTGTTGTTCGTTCGTTTGTAGCTGTTCTTCTCCTTCGTGATTTCTTATTATTTCTTTTAATATTAAAATCCTCCTTCCTCTTCTTCGTTCCTTTTTTATTAATGATCTTCTCGATATTGCTATTCATACTAATGTTTAATGTTTTTTTTGATTTTTATTTGTGAAATTCCCAATCACATTCGTAAGTAGTAGATAGTAGTAATAGAGAGAGAGAGAAAGAGAGAAAGGTTTTTAATTTTTATTTTTTCTTTCTTTTTGGTCTTTTTGGTGGACAGATTTTTATTCTTCTTTACTTCTTCCTCCTCTCCTCTTTTTCGTCAAACCAAAAAATAATCAAATCCGCCTCAACCCTTTGTGGTTCTTCTTCTTCCTTCTTCAGATATGTTCTCTTCTGAGCAAAACCCACAAATCTTTCTCTAGTTTTATCCTCAAAGTCTCGACCTTTATTTGATCTCAGTACCATAAAGTTAGTATTTTTATCTTCTCTGTTTTTTTTTTTTTTCGAAAACTCAATTTCATTACTTTGTTGTTGTTGTTGTTTGATTCTAGGGTTTGTAATTTTGGGGGTTGTTGTTGTTTTTTGCAGGAAATGGAAGGTGGTGGCTCTGATGAAGCAGAGAAGAATAAAACTACACCTGAAGGTGGTGGTAGTGAGAGTAAGTCTAAACGGAAAATGAAAACTGCTGCTCAGCTTGAAGTTCTTGAGAACACTTATTCAGGTTTGGTTTTGTTTATAAAGTTTCTTACTTTGGTTTTTTTGTTTTTTTATTAGTGTTTAATTGTTGTGTGTGTGTGTTTTTTTTTTATAGCTGAGCCTTATCCTTCGGAAGCTATAAGAGCGGATCTCTCAGTGAAACTGAACCTTTCAGATAGACAGTTACAGATGTGGTTTTGTCACCGGCGTCTTAAAGACCGGAAATCTACTACGCCGAGTAAACGTCAGCGTAAGGAGTTGGTAACACCAATGGCTGTGGAATCCTCCGTCAATGCCGGTGATTTGGTGGCGGGAAATGAGTTTGATTCTAAAAGAGCTGTTAGAGGTAGTGGTAGTGGTGGTGGTGTGACTGTGGTTAGGAGGTTTAATGAACCTTCTTCTGCTGAGGTTAGAGCTGTTGGCTATGTGGAGGCTCAGCTTGGAGAGCGTTTAAGAGATAATGGACCTATTCTTGGAATGGAGTTTGATCCTTTACCTCCTGGTGCATTTGGCATGCCTATTGGTAAATACATTACATTCTGCTTCTTAGGATTGATACAAATGTTGTTTTGGTTTGTTGTTTTTTTACTTGTTAACCGAAATGGAAATGTATGGTTTTTGGTGTGGGAACAGAGATGCCAAGCCATCGAAAGGCGACTAGGCAAGCTTTTGAGACCAGTTTATATGTTCGACCCGATGTGAAACCGAGTAAAGTTAGTTTTGGTCTCATGATTTGTTGTTAACTACTCTAGTCTTTTTTTTTCCCTTTTGTTGTTCTCAGAAATTTTGTCATTTCCCTGTTATAGGATCATGCGAGGCCTATTCGTGAATATCAGTTCCTTCCTGACTTGCCATCTTCGAGGACTGATCATTCTGAAAGAGTTTCTCCGTCACATCATTTTGGAGTTCCTATTGATGCTTCGGTTATGAGGGCTTCAGCGGTGTCTGTTGGACATCGGGATGACTATAAGATTTCACCTCAGATACCAAATTTGAATCTTGCAACTCACCAAGGGAAGGCCGGGCATGTCTATTCGCCTAACTTGTCTGAATATGACTCACCGTATCAAAAAGGCTACATGGATGCTGCTGCACATAGAAACTTAAATGATCACCCGATTCATGAGGATCATTTTGTGAAATCAGAGAGAGAAGTTGGTAATGAGGATGAGGAGGATGATGCCTTGCAATTAGAGAGAAAACGCAAGGTTTGTATAAAAGGAATGTGTGACTTTTTTGTTCTGTATAAGTAAGCAGGGAACTGTTCTCATCATTTTCTCTCCCTTTGTGTTCACTGTAGAATGAAGAAGCAAGAATATCTCGTGAAGTTGAGGCGCATGAGAAGAGAATTCGAAGAGAACTAGAGAAACAAGATTTGCTGAGGAGAAAGGTCTTTATTTTGGTTTAAGCTAAGCACATACTTTAGTAACTGTATCTTGTTGTTTGTTTTCATTTTGTCAATTTGTTATGCAGAGAGAGGAGCAAATAAGGAAAGAAATGGAGAGGCAAGATCGGGAAAGACGGAAAGAGGAAGAACGTCTTTTACGTGAAAAGCAGAGAGAGGAAGAGAGGTTTATGAAAGAGCAGATGCGAGAGCTGCAGCGAAGAGAGAAGTTCTTGAAGAAAGAAACAATGAGGGTAATGTGAAATTATGTGCTACCTTTAAGTTTCTTGAGTACTTGTGGTGAGATGTTGTTTCCTCATTTGACCTCTTATTGTAAATTAGGCTGAGAAAATGCGACAAAAAGAAGAGATGCGTAGAGAAAAAGAGGTTGCAAGGCTTAAAGCTGCTAACGAGAGGGCCATTGCTCGTAAGATTGCAAAGGAATCTATGGAACTTATTGAAGATGAACGCTTAGAACTCATGGAAGTTGCTGCGTTAGCCAAAGGATTGCCTTCAATGCTCGCTCTTGACTTTGAAACTCTACAGAACCTTGATGAATATAGAGGTGAATCATTAACTCTTTTTGTCTTAACTTTCATTTACATTTTTTGATTCATTTCACCTCTTATATGAGAATTGTAGCTTACATCCATCTGGTGGATTATATTTTTCAGACAAGCAGGTGCTATTTCCTCCAACATCTGTGAAATTGAAAAAGCCCTTTACAGTCAAGCCATGGAATGGTTCTGATGAGAATGTTGCCAATCTTCTAATGGTGATTTTTCCCAACTTACTTACTGTTAACAAACTTGACTATATACATTGAGACGATTTCTTACTTTAGTTTTCTCACCACTTGAGTTTTTTATTATTTGGTTGACATTGTGTAGGTATGGAGATTCTTAATCACTTTCGCAGACGTTCTTGGTCTTTGGCCATTTACCCTAGATGAGTTTGCTCAGTCATTCCATGACTATGTAAGTGTTTCTCTCTTTCTCTCTTAAGTGGAATACATTTGGATCTAAACAAGATTGATTTTCTCTACATTTCCTTGGCTGTGTAGGACCCACGACTAATGGGAGAGATACACATTGTTCTTTTGAAGACTATAATCAAAGACATTGAAGGTGTTACAAGAACGCTTCTAACCGGTGTTGGAGCAAACCAAACTGCTTCTAATCCGGGAGGGGGTCATCCTCATGTTGTGGAGGGTGTAAGTTTAGGCCATTTTAGTATTTCTTTCGATTATAACATAAATATTTCCTAGTCCTCTTGATGTAAAGTATGATGAAATTTTTTGGATTAGGCATATGCGTGGGGTTTTGATATACGCAGCTGGAGACGAAACTTGAATGTTTTTACATGGCCTGAAATCTTGAGGCAACTTGCTGTCTCTGCCGGGTTGGGACCGCAACTGAAGAAAAAGAATATTAAGACTTTGTCTGTTCATGATGAAAATGAGGTGGGTAAACTAGAGCATATTGTGACTTCTGTTTAGGTGGGTTAATTTTGGTTTTTCTACTATATTGTGACTTCTGCTTCTCTTCAAGTGCAGGCCAACAATTCTGAGAATGTGATTTTAAACCTAAGGAAAGGTGTAACAGCTGAGAATGCTTTTGCCAAGATGCAAGAAAAAGGACTTTCTAATCCGCGACGTTCACGGCATCGTTTGACGCCAGGCACTGTTAAATTTGCTGCATTTCATGTTCTATCTATTGAGGGTGAAAAGGGTTTGACCATTCTTGAGGTTGCAGACAAGATTCAGGTAAAAATGGTCTAATGATTGTTTCTCTTGAACTTATTATCTAATTCTCGTTTTGTTTCATTCTCGTTTTCTTTCTTATTGATCATAGAATTCAGGATTGAGGGATCTAACGACTAGTAGGACACCTGAAGCCTCTGTTGCTGCTGCGTTGTCACGGGATACAAAAC